CGCGCGCGCGCGCGCGGGCGGGCAGGCGGGCGAGGAGCCAGGCGTTTCCAGCTGCTCTTCCGTGGGCCCCCGGGCCGCCAGGCGCGTGCGGAAGCCGCGCCCCGAAGCTTACGGGGTTCTGTGCTTCGTCAGGCGGAAGAGAACAGGAGGCTGAAAGACCTGGAACTGCAGCAGGAAGAGAAGCTGGCCGCCGAGTTAGCGCGACTCAAGCACGACGAGCTGAAGGACGAAAAGATGAGGCAGCAAATCAGAGAAAACAGGTATTTCCTTCACTGACCGCGTTGCGGCCGTCCTTGTTGCTTGAAGGCCATCCTGGTGGCTGGCCCAGGCGAAGAAAGCCAGCCAGCCAGCCAGCCAGCCAGCCAGCCGCGCGTGGAGGAGCCTGAAGCGGCGGTTGCCGGCCTGCTGGCCTCTGTGGGAACCGGGCCGGTCAGGGACAGCAGCTCAGCCCTCGCTTGGTGCTCTCCCTCCTTGGCCGCCGCCTGTTCGCCACGGTCACCCCGCCCGGTGCCTTTCGTGCGAGTTCTTCAGAGGGCTCCTCAACCAAATCATCGTTTTCATCTTCTGTTTTGTCTTGCTTTCTTTGTTTTTGCTTGTTTATTTCTAGCATTGAACTGCGGGAGCTGGAGAGGAAATTGAAATCTGCTTATATGAATAAGGAGAGGGCTGTTCAGATTGCTGAGAAAGAAGCTCTGAAATATGAAAAAATGGTAACTACCTTCGTGGAATATTTTGTTTTTGGGTTCTTGATGAAAAGAAAGTCATAAATGCTGTGAGGATGTTGGAAAATGGCAATGCTGCAGCAGCAGATGTAACTGGAGAAATACTAATGGGCAAATCCATAAAGAATGCTTGTGTAATTAGAGGTGGTGGACTGGGGATACAAACGTAAGTGTGCTTTTATATGCAGATGACGCTGTGTTGTCTGAGAACCTGAATGATTTGTAGCAAGTATTAGATTCTGTGATGTAACAAAGGGAACGGATCTGAAAGTTCATGCCTCAGGCAAAGGTAGGTAGATGCGTTTGACAGAGAAGATGGGGTGAATGATTCCAAGTTATATGTAAATGGGGGGGAAAACAGAGCAAGTAGATAAATTTGTATACCCTAGTAGAATGTGTACTAAAGAGAGGAAAACTGATATAGTTTAATTTTTCATTGTTATAAGCTGCCATGAATGTTGGAATACAGTTAACAGAAATATGGGGTATTCATTCAGTAATAAATACCATAAATAAATTTTTAGGATATGCAAACGCTAGTAGAAAGGTAGTGGGTAGCAGGTGGTCAGTGGGCTGAATAAATGTCTGTTGAAAAAAGAGAAATTGGCTGTGCCCACTTATTAGATGGTTGTGGGAATTGCTTGAGTCAGGAGAAACAGAAGAACTAGATAAATGTCATTGGAAGCTGTTGTTGTAAAACAAGATGAGAGAGGATCAAGAATGAAAGGGTGTTGAATGGATGTGGATTGAAGGCAGGAGCAACCAGTACAAAAGAAGTAGGCTGAAGTAGTTTGGTCATAGAGAGAATGAAAGAGAATCAACCTGCAAAACAAAAATATGAAGGAAGAGGGAATGGGTTGACAAGAATGGGAAGTCTGAGAAAGTTGGGTTGGATGATGTTGTTGAGGTCCTCAGAAGAGAGATGAGAATTTAAAAGACTGTGTAAGAATTGAATATGGAAGTGGTGGAAGGAAGCAAAGACAGGTATGGAGAGGGGTAGGGAATTGTGTTCATGTCCAGCAGGGTTAGCTATATTTCCATTTTCCCTCTCTTATCTCTATTTTTTTTTTGCTTACTAGTTATTACTCATTTTTGTGCTTTGTATAATACTATTTATTCCAAAGAGAAATAGCATGATGGGTATATATGTATGTATATTAGATACCTGAAGAAATATGTATACTAACAATGTGTAGTTGCCTGAAAATGCTAAATACAGATTAGTTATGAGTAACTTAATCCCCCTTTTTAAAAAATACATAATTAATATAAATTTTTATTTCTTTGGAAATGAATTTGTTTAACCCTAACTTCATGTTTTGTAAGAAACTGAATTTCTTTTTTTGAATAATCATATGGTTAATAATTACTGTTTTTACTTAATTGGTGGAAAAGCTCCTTTTATTTTGCCTGTTGGTTTCTTTGTTAAAGCTAATAAATTGTCCTACTGTATGATCCTGAACATGTTTCCTCAGAACTGAGTGGCCGTGAGGTCAGAGGATTTGGCTTTGCAGTGTGTTTAGAACTGAGGCCTTAGAAGGCATAACAGTAATGCTTTTCCTAAGAACTGAATTAGATTTCAGAATGGTTTTACCAAACAAATAGGTGGAAATCACAGCTAACAAACTACACGCCAGTTGTTGAAATCTTTCCACTAGTGTGTTTCTTCTGCTCATCTTATTGCTGTCTGTTAAGGTGAGGAGTCGTATATGAGTGCCCTCAAGGCTCAATGTCACTTTTTGAAAAGATTCCATTCCAAGTTGGACCTTTGTGGCTTAGCTTCTATACAGTAATTTCTTTTCTGGGACCTTTTTTTAGCTGGGTGTTTGCTTTTTCAGGTGTGGAGGAAGAGCTTTTTTTTAAAAAAAAAAATAAAGTTGCTGGGAGCATGTGGGCAGTTAATGCTTCCATTATTGGGGTAGAATCTGTATAAACAAGCTAGTTTGCCATAATTTGGGACCTCCTCATTGTGCCAACAGAAGGAGGATGCAGAGATCTACCGAGCGATGAAGGAGGAGCAAGAAAGAGCAGTTGAGGCAGAGAACACTGTTGAAATAAGGCGCAACCAGGAGAAGTTGCTCTATCAGCAAGAACTGGAAAAACAGCTGGAGCAACAAGAGAGGCGGAAACAGGCTGCCTACAAGGAGTTCCTTAGAGAGAAACTCTTGATTGATGAAATTGTGAGGAAGATCTATGAGGAAGATGAAAAGTTAGTTTAGATTATGTTAAACCTGCTCGGCTGCACTACTTATATTTCCTTCAGTATGAATTGGCCTAACAATTAACCTGCTGGGGGTTGGGACGGGCATTGTTTGCTTCAGATTAAACTTCACCGAGCGTTTCTGTATCATAGAGTCCATCCATCCTCCAGCTCAGATCCAAACCTCACTCTCCCAAACAGGTGGCTGTTGAGCCTCTGCTTAACTGCATCCAGTGGGGGGAGCTCCCATCCCTGGGTAACTGGAGTCATAGCTGTGGCCCTGTCATGCAAGGGAAGCAGTTCTCCTGGGTCCTCGGGGCTGGTGGTGCCTCAGTCCACTCCCTCCCTTGCCTGAGGCATCTCAGAAACCTTTGGCCATGGGAAAAAGCTCAGACCATCTCTCAAGGCTGGTGGCTCCTTTCTTGGCTGGGTGGGGCTATACTACGTGGTTCTCGTGCTATGACACCAATCCTCTTTAGTTGTGATCCCTTCCTTGTCATAAGGAGCAGTGGGACTCCTGGAAAACTGTCGTATGGCGGTTGGCTGCATGTCCATACTGGTGCATGCAACCGGGCATACTTCGGAGCATTCCCTGAAGGGCGGGGTGGGGGGGCAACTCAGAAGAGACCCAAGGAAAGAGAGGATGCCAAAGCTCCCAGTGTAGGTTTTGCCAGGTTCCCCAGGAGCATTATTGAACCTGTGCACTTCTCTCGTAGGGCAAGACAAGACAGACTAGAGAAAAAGAGAGCCACGCAGAGATTCATTGAAGAATTCAAAAAAGACCAGGCCCTGCGGAGGAGAAGGCAGCGTGAGGAGATGGAAGAGGAGAACCGAAAGCTCATGGAATTTGCTAACATGTGGCAGGAGAGAGAAGACAACCGGATGGCAACGATTCATGAAAACGAAGAGAAAAAAAGAAAGCTCCAGCAAATGGTATTGAAATTGCCCTTCTGTTCGTCAGATTTGGTCAGGTGGGAGCTGCCTAAAGTTGTCTTTCCTCTTCTTTGTAGCTTGCAGAAGTTCTGAAAAAAGAACAACAGGAGCGAGAGGAACTTGAGCAAATCAGAGCTGAGTTGCACTTTGAAGAACAGGCTGAGGAAGAGAGGAAGAAGGAGATGGTAAATGCCATTGGCTTGAGTCCTGGATTGGCATGGGGGACACCAGTGGGGCAGCAGGGAAAAGAGGATGCCTGAGGCATGCTCTTGCAAGTCCCTTCAGTCCTGTTCTTCTGACTGAGAGCACAAAAGGTGGTTGCAGCTGAGCTCTTGTTCCATACGCAGGAAGAGATGGAGAAGAAAATCAGGCAGCGCATTGAGCTACGAAACTCATACGAGGAACAGTTGGCCTCAAGGAAAGTGCTGCTGCAGGCCTTGAAGGAAGAGGAGGAGGCCTTTCGCCAGGCCATGTTAGACAAATTTGCAGAAGATGACCGTATTGAGCAGATGAACGCTCAGAAACGAAGAATGAAACAACTGGAACACAGGAGAGAAGTAGAGAAGCTGATCGAAGAACGACACAAACAGTTTGTTGCAGACAAGGTAAGCTGGATTTGGGATATGCATTGTACAAAGTTAAAATGAATTCTAGGACTGGAAGAGACTTTAAAGGTCATTTAGTCCAGCCCCCTACCAATTGCAGGTTATGTTGGAGCATCTGTAACAGATGAGCATCCAACCTCTGTTTGAAGTGGTGCACCATTTCATGTGGCAGTCTGTTCCACTGGTTGACAGATCATGTCAAGAATCTCCTCCTGATGTCTAGCCAGTAGTTTATACCTGCTGTTTCTCCTCCTTCCCCCGGGAAATACAGAATAGGTTCATTCCCTCTTCTGTGCATGAAGTCTATGATAATATCTCCCCTGAATCATCTTCTGCCAGTAAAACATACCTAGACATACCCAGAAGACCCACATCAGCCATACCTAGATCCTTTCACCATTCCTCATAAGGCTTGGCTTCCACACCTCCTCTGAACTTGCTCCAATTTATCACTGTCCTTTTTGAACTGTGGTGTCCAGAACTGCATATAGGACTCCAAGTGGGGTCTGACCAGCGGAGGGTAAAGTGGAACAATTACTTTCCCTGGCTTGAACTCTATGGCAATGTACCCCAAGATTGCATTTGCCTTCTAGCAGCTTCTTCACAATTCTGGCTCATATTTAACTTGCGGTCAACAAGGACACCCAGATCCATTTCACATGTACTACTGCCAAGCCAGGTGTCCCCCTCCCGATACCTGTCTCTTACATTTTTCCTACCCCAGTGCAGAACTTTACATTTCCCCATATGAAATTCTAGCTATTTAGTTTTGTCACCTTCGTGAGTGAACATGAGTGTGGCTGTTGTGGCTAGTAATGGATGCTTTGTCTCAGCATGAAATAAACGCAGCCTTCTCCAAACCAGCATTTTGAGCAGAACACATGAATATTTGCACCTATGATTCAAAGCTTTGTTGGGCATTCCAGTCGGCCTTGTTGGGGCATTTGAGTTCAGGCTGCAGCCAGTATTAAGAAAAGCAGCTGATATTTGATAGCCAAAGCTTGAAACTAATTTTGAAACGGAAAAGTTACGTGCTTCAATTTTACTGACATAGGAACGTGAACTAGAAGAAAGACAAACGGAAGAAAGGAGGAAAGGAATCATTGATGACATTATTGAGGAGGAGCGACAGAAGCTTCTTAAAGAGCATGCAGTTAAACTCCTGGGGTATCTTCCACGGGTAAGTTGAGGGCAAACCAAATGGGGTGCTTTCTGGACTCGCTGTGTGCTGGGATGGCTCGTACCAGTTCTGTTCTGGGCCGGATTTCTGCCCCCAAGAGGAAGACTTGTTACCTCAGACTGGTCTGCATCTCGAAAGACGGAGAAGGCAGCCCTTATCCAAGGGGAGGGATCAGGGCCATCTTTGGTAGAGTGGGGATGGCAGGTAGCGTGAACAGCCTGCCCTACAAATTTGAATGTAGCTGAAGGACAAGGTACAGAAGACGACAAAAAATGGAGAACGGGATTGAAACAGGAGCAGCAGCAGATGGGGATTCATTTATTTAGTTGGTTATTTGGTGGAATTCTGTTTTGGTTCTGAGAAGTAGTAGAAGATGGATAGTGGGCCAAGCTGGAGTTATGTCTCCAAATAAAAGCATTTAGGGGGCGGTTCAGAATTCAGGGGGATGGTGTCAGGACATAGCTGCACCTGGATAGTAATTGTTTTAACGCTGCTTTCTTCTTATGTCTGTTAATCCAGGTGCCTCCACACCCTGGGGGCTCCCTTCCTATTGTTTTTTGCTCCTGACCTGGGAAACACCCTGTATACCCCTCAGTCTTTGTTTCAGTCTTATTCTCCATCCCTCTCTCCACCTCAACATTGAACTTCATAATAAAAAGATTAAGGTGTGCCTTTTTTAATATAAATTGCATAGAGAATTTCAAGAGTTGAAGGGCTCATTTAATTTCACTCCCTGATCATTCTGGACGGGTGGGCACTTGGCCCTTTACTTCAGTTCTCCAAACGTGCTCCTGCCAGGAACTTTTGAGGAACAGAGAGCCACAGAAGCACCGCCCCTAGACCAAGTCAAAATGTTGGTCCTTGAATTCAGCATTATCTTCACTGATTAGCAGCCGTTGTCCAAGGATTCAGGGCTGTCCCGGCCTTGGCTCTCTTCTGCTTAACCTTCTCTTCCCGTTATTTCTGCTTCTCTCCATTCTGGTTGCAGTTCTTTGCTTGTGTGGTTAGGACAGTCTTAAAACAGGGCATTGGAAGTGGACACGGACAGAATAGAGTAGAACACCAGGAGTGTTCACATGTTCTACCTGCATTTGGAAATTGTGAGGAAGAATGTGGGCAAGTGCTCCTACCAGGAACTTGCAGAGTGCCTCTACAACTCCTTTTCTTCTCCTCCTGGGGAGAATGCATCCTTCCTCCAGCCAGGACTGTACATTCTCCATACAATTCTGAGACAGCCCAAAGATTTTGAATGTTTTCTCATGACACAGATCCTGCACCCAAACTGGGTTCAGGTGGTCTGAAGTAGTGAAATGGCTACAAGGGGTATTTTTAGCAATCTTTCGGTGAGTTGTCCACAGTATAGTGGGGGTAGCACAAGAGTTGCAGACCAGATTCTGCACCTACAGATCTCAGAGAGGGCCTGAAGCAGCTGGACTTTGTGCTTGACCTGCGCTTGACTTTTGGGAGGATGTTTGTGATAAAGTGGCAGAATGTCTTGCTTAGTTCTCATTTACATGAAAAAGTTGGGTATTTACTGAACTGTTGTTTTGAAGGGAGGGTTTTAAATTTAAGGGAAAGGAAAAAAATGGCTATTTTGTTTGTATAATTTTAAAAAGCGGTGCAGTTAAGTGGCAGTTTTAAAAATACCTCTGATGTTGATACACTGAACTTTTTTCTTCTGCTGTGTTCAGGGAATTCTTAAGGATGAGCAAGACGTTAATATGCTTGGAGAAGAGTTCCGGCAAGCTTACCAAAAGAGGAAAGGGGATGGGCTTTCAGAAGTCAACTGAGCTTTCATTGCTTCACCTTAGACTCCTCCTAGAAGTCACCTGACCATAGAAATAGCATTTGCTGCTACACTGACTTTTTAAAAATTGGCTTTTATATTGATAAATTACTTATTTGACCATTGTTCCCAGTTTGTATTGTATGTTTGTATGTTCATTTTATTATATTTATTTATATCCTGCCTTCTTCAGTTCAAGGCAGCATCTGTAGCAGTGTTTTTCAACCTTGACAACTTGAAGATGTTTAGACTTCAACTCCCAGAATTCCCAGCCAGCACATTGGCTGGGGAATTCTGGGAGTTGAAGTCCACACATCTTAAAGTTGCCAAGGTTGAGAAACAATGATCTATAGTGCTCCCTCCCCTTATTCTTCCCCAAAACAATCCTGTGAGGTAGGTTGGGCTAAAATAAAGTATCAGGCCCTAAATCATCCAGGGAGCTTCCATGGCTGAGGGTGGATTTGAATCTGGATCTCCCTGATGCCATTCCAGTACCTTAACTGCTATATCATACTGGCTCTCTTTTAGAAATCAGTACCTGGATTTAATTTTACATGAGAGAACTAGAGCTCTCTTTGAAGGTAGATTGATAATTCCAAGTGCTGGAAGCATTTTTAACAAGTAACTTGCATTATCCTCTGCTTAGTGATTTAAAACAAGCCCAAAAACCTTGCCATTGTGGGGCATCCCTGAATGTTGATAGCTTTTTCCAGTGGCTGCAGCTGTCACTTCTCCAATTAGCTACTTCTTTGGATACAATGTACTATGACATTTCTTCTATTATATTAACTGAAAAAATGCTCCAGATCAATTAAATTATTGCCTGCACTTTTATTTTGAAAAAAAAATCCTTTATAAACCTACTTCAAATTATAAAAAATAAGGGACACTTGTTTTGATGGAGTATGATGAGCATTCAAATTATTTCAATAGCCTGGAAATTTACTCACAGCTCCCAAATTAAAAGGGTTGGCAAAGGTCAGGTTAACTTTGCTGAGTGATGGAGAACGAGGAAACAGCTATTGGCAAAAATGTTGGTGGGAAGAGGCAAACGGGCTAAGTATGAAGCATATATTCTGCCTTCCCTTCAATTTCAATCTTCGGGCAATGATTCCCATCTCCTGTTGAGGAGCGATGCTGTGTTTTGAATTAAGAGCTGCCCCACTCCAGGGCCTTCACAAATTCCTCTTCAGTGAAGGAAAGCATCTTGGCAGATTCAATGTGCATCTAAGAGGGAAAAAGATGCTCACTTGAGTAGGAAATCCTTCTTACCCCTCTCGGACAGAGATTTTGCTCCTCTTTCACTACCTGAAAAATAACCTATTGCCCAGCCACATATTCCTTTCCCCTCCAAACCGCCCCCCCCCGAGATTCCTTGTAATTATTGTGGATTTACTCCATGATCCAGTTCCTTATTGCTTTTTAACCTAGAGACTGAATTTCAGTCAAACGATAGTGGAGTATGCTGCAGCCCTAATTTTAATTCAGTTAAAGTTGCTGGTAGCATAAGGTAGCTTGCCTTTTGTCTTTTTAAAATGTCAATTAGTTTTAATTGTTTCTTGAAACCTGCCACGAGCTCTTCTTTTTGTTTCTCCAGCCTCTTATTTTCAATTTTTAGTTCTTCAAGTTTTTTATGCTCTTGGTTGACCACATCCTAGTAAGAAAGGAAGGACAAGGAAAGTGTTACACCGTTAGGACGTGTCTGAAGGAGAGCGCAGAAAGCCCATCCATAAATGACAACAAGGCTCAGCAGTGCTGCACAGGCCACAAGCTCCTGTAACCTCCTTAGACAGCAAAGCGCTCTAGCAGCGTTGTCATGTCTTGAAGGTTCGATGATTCTGCCACCAGGAGAAAGAGAGACCACAAAGCACGCGCTTGCAGAATTCTTAGAATTGATTCTGAATGCGTTGCTCAGAACAGACCGGTGACCAGACCATCCAGGCAAGTGCTATCTGGGTCTACTAACTTACCATTTGCTAATGCACACCCACCCTGCCCTACCTTGTTACTTTGCTTCAATTTATTCAGTTCCATTTTGTATTTCTCGGCTTCCTCAAGAGCTCTGTTCAAGCGAATGTCCGTCGTGCTCTGGGTTGCTGCAGCTTGTTTTTGTGCTCGCTTCAGATTTTCCAGTTCCTGTTGAATCACATTAAAACATGGGCAAGCCCCCCGGCTTCAGAGGATGAGCCCTATGATCTAGCGGCCCTGCCAGGCAGGGAAAAAGGCAACAGCGGCGTCTCCACCAGGCCTCGCCCACCCTCGTCTGAGCGATAGCCCTCAGACAACGTGGGTAACACTCTCAACACAAACGAGCTAGAGAAGCATTAATTCTATGGGGACGGTGCTCTAGAGCTATTTGTTTCCATTTTTTCTTACCTGCCTCAGTTGTGGGAAATTCACACTGGATAATTCATGTGCCTTGGTTTAACTTGTTGTGAGCCCTTAGAACTTCATTAAATCATGGTTAAGCAAACCAAGGCTTATCATGATGCGAGAGTTGCCCCTGTGAGCAATTTCACACTTAACCTTCTGAGGAAGGCAAGAGATAAAAATGGCTTTATTACCTTTTCTAGCAGAGAGAGTTTCTGTTGCAGACCCTCACTTTTTCGGCTGGCTTCCTCCGACAGCATTTTATACTTTTCTACCTGAGACTGGTGTAGGCTGGCTGCGCGCTGCAGCCGTCCGCGTTCTTCTTCGGCCTCCTTAAGGCGGCTGTTCAGATTTTCATTCTCATCATCCTGCAGGCCCAAAATTAACAGCCACAAGAGAGTTGGAGCCCTGTTGGGTTAGTGCTGATGTTTCTCCTTTGCAGCTCTACCATCTTTTTTTCCAGGATTCCTGCCTTTAGATCAGAAGTTCAAAAAACTTAAGCCCGCACTGTTTGAATGGTGGTCCTTGGGGCTGAGCCCATCTTTCAGAGACATTCTCCGCCCTGCAAGCTAGGCAGATCAGAGACACGTCTGCTGTTTTCCTTGGGAGGGGCCTCAGTTCCTTTACGTCTAGGGACATTCCCCACAACATCCATACCAGGTGACAGGCGAGGCCTTTCCTCACTCTCCTATTTCTGTGAGGAAAAACCTGGAAGACTGGCCATCTCAGGAACTGCAAGTGTGAATACACAAGAGACGCTACACGCAGAGGACTTCAGGCTGGTGAATCTGAGACAGGAACCTTCCTGTGGCAGACCACCATAAAGGACAACCTTCTGCTTAGTGCAAGCAAGTCACCACCTTGCTTTGGAGGAGAGGAGCCCTGTCTCTCCTCTTACCTTCTTGCTACTTTCCTGCCCCATGGCATCCAGCTCCTCCTGCATCACCCGCAGCTTTGCCTTTAGGAACCGGATCTGGGCCTCTGCAAATTGGCAACAATTGCATTGAACGGTCTAGTTTAGGACTTCTTTCTAGGCCTGATATCAAAAGAACCTTGTTTTTAGCCACACTTAAAGAACACTTTGGTGGTAGATTAAATACTCATGTTTTGAAAACTGGCAATTCTTTATGAAACCAATTGTGTTCTATGAAAGAAACCAAGTGGCTGCCTTGAAGCCTGACCGGAGATTTCAAATCTGGAATACAAAATACTGTTTCCTGCAACTCCACCTCACGCCCAAAACCCATTCCTGCCCTTGGAAGTGCCCCTCAGCAGGCAGAAAGACACTCTGGCAACCCTTGCAAAATGCCCGATCCAGCAATTGCACACTGACTTCTTCATAACAGAAAATCTTGCAAAATGTACACTTTACATTCCATGAATGTATTTAAGGGTTTAATAAAATGTCAGTATTTTTAGATGGAGGCCAGCTTCTAGAACACATTTTCCCCCTTCTGCAGAAAGAAAGGGACAACTAATGAAAAACAAAACTACCCAAGAAAACAGCCTCACTTGCCTGCTCCAAGTTCACTTCCTGTACTTGGGATAAGATTATCTTCCAGATCAGGCAGGTTTCCTTCTTCCAGCTGCCCTTCAATTCTCCCAATTATTTTTGTCAGAGAGCAGCCTGAGGCTGCAACATCAGGAGTGCTTGGGACATCCTGTAATCTTGATTTTGTACTGAAAAGTTGAGAGCAGAAGAAGAAGAATGTGGATAACGCCTAGGAAACTGGTAAAAACAATACTGCACGCTTGTGGCAATTTGACGCAACACGAGTAAGTAAAATTAGAATAATATTTTGTACAAAACAGAGTACAACAAAACATGGATAAAAGTATAATATTAAAATTGTGACATATGGAGCTAATCACCACCTGTGTGAAAGTGATCTGATCCTCTCTAAATCCAAAGTCACCTGCCAGCCATGAAGATTGAACACAGTTTTGCAACCTTTTTAGAAATTTCTACAGAACTATCTGCTAACAAAAAGAGCACATTTTCCATCGAAATATTAGGGAGCAGTCCAACAAATGTGAGCATGTGAGGGGGATTCCATGAAACTCCCTGCTCAGGGAGTGAGAGACCCCCTCCCTACCAGCATTTAAAGCTCTTTTCCACCTGCATAAAAAAAGGAAATCTGTCAAGCCTAGGAATGGTGACGTACGAGATGGACTTGGCTGTCTTGACCTCTGGCTAACTGCTTGGGCAGAGCTTGGCTGTCATGTTTTTCAGAACACAACCTACATTACCATTAGCCCTTTTCAGGCTGCTGGATAGAAGTAACCGAATTCAACTACAACCAACACATTATGAAAGCCACAAGATCCCAGAAGCTGCCAATGCTGATCCTGTTTATGTGCTCAGCTCCACAACCTATACCTTAAGAGAAGTCTTTTCCCCTTTCTTCCTGTCAGCGGCCTGCCCCGCATTGTAGGCACAGTGCTGGATTTCTTCTTGTATAGCTGCTAAAGGAAAGTCAGAAAACCAACATTTTTAGATACTCAGTATACATGCTAATCCTTAACACTTTTTTTTTTTAATGAAAAATAACTCCTTTAAAGCAATCCTTGCATTGTCTGCCAGTCTACTCTTATCCCTTAGGTGCTCAGCATTTGACTTCCTTTTCAGATCCTGGCCCAGGTAAATCTATCTTTTTAGATTCATGGAACTGGCCAACCTGAGCTCCTGGGAAGTAGCACGGAATGAACTGCGGTCAGTACCAGTGGCTGAACTTTGTTTCACAAGAACATCCTGCTCAGCGTAGGGCCTAGTGGAGCATTTCTGACCAAAGATCCTCCAACTTCCACAGGAGGAGAATTCTGCCCTGCGTAAGGCAGCCTGTTTGTCCGTTATTCGCAACATAGCCTCAGCATCCTTAGCACGTATGGCACAATCCTTCCATGTCTGCTCACTAATGGGCAGCTAACAATATAAAAAGCAAATAGAAACAAATACGTATACAAAAAATTAAAAAGCACAGCAGCCGGGAAAAGTCCAACAGCCGTTGACACAACCAGGAGATGGGCTCCTTCACGCACCTGGGGCCCCAGGCTCCAGCATTAGCGATAGGATGTGGGATGAACAATATCTTACAACGCCTGTCCAGTTTCTGCATGTGTGTAAGAAACACCACGATGTCTACACACCTGCTTTTCTTAGGAGATGAGGCTGGGTTAGAAACTCTTCAGCTTCCCCTCACTAGTGCCCTACGTTACTCTAGAAATATACAAAAATTCTGTTTCCAGTACCTTATTAAGTGCAAGAGGAAGAATTGACAGTTCAGGAGAACTTAAATCTCTGGAAAGAAAAACCAACAGCAGCAAACAGCTTATTAGGAAGACTCTGTGCTTTATTTCACCCAAACGAGGGAACGGACGGAAGGCTGCCAGCCTGAGAGGCCCGTATGTTGCCTGGACTGCAAAGGAGCCCGACCGAACAGGGCCGAGGTTAAAAGCAAGGACCGGAGACCCCCCCTCCCGTTCCTTTTGCCTGTGCCCTGAAGGACAGCCCCGGCAGGGAAGCGGGGCCGCCCCCCACCCCGATTCCAGGGAAACCAGGAGTCCGGGAGGCCCCAAAGCCGGGGGGCGCTGGAGGAGCCGCGGTGGGGCTGCCCGCGGAGCAGGCGCCCGAGCCCCCGAAAGCCCACCCGTCGCACCCAGTACCTCTCCTGGGCCGCCTCCTCCAGCGCGTCGCCGCGGGCCGGGATGGGCCTGGCCGAGGCTTCCTGCTGGTCCCTCTGGAAGGCGGGCGGGAAAAGGACGCAGGGCCGTCAGAAGCGCCCCCGTCGCTTCCCT